ACAATACAAAAATATAAAAAATTGACCTAAAAGCTGTTGTTCATCCTCGACAAATATTAATAAAGGCTTGATTTTTTATTTCAACTTGAATTGCATTACTTCTGAGCCAATTAACAAAATCTTGATCGTATTTGACCTTTTTTTTTTATTAGCGCCAGATCGTATGATATGCTTATTAAGTTTAACTTATGACTAGAGCTTCTTTTGTAAATCTGTCGGTTGACAAGAACAATAATTGCCGTAGGTTTTCGTACAGACTAAGCATGTCATACAAATTGGACAAGCTTAATAAGATGGTTGAATCGACATTTTTTACACTATCGTGTTAAAATAAAAAGTATTACGTACATGTGATACAGAAATTTCTTTTTTATACTGTATATCGATGATCATACCGGAATCAAAAGCTTATGTCCCGAGATCAAAAGCTTATCGAATTCGGCTGAATTAACTTCGGCAAAATTTTTATCAATTGTCCCAGAATTTATGAGAACAGCTGTAATAATTGAATTCGGATTTACCTAAATTCGGATTTACCTAAATTCGGATTGTCATCCGGATGCACTAATGAGGATCCGAATTTAATCCGAATGAACTTTAAAAATTAGGATCGAAACACTACTATTTATATTGTAACTTGGTAACAAATGTCGGTTAAAAATTTTTTTTCGTACCAAATATTTCATAAAAATCTGATTAATAGAAACCAATTATTCAACTCAATCGAACTCAAAATGATTTTCGTTCCGTCAATAACAAAACAAATTAATGAATTTGAAAATAATAATGAAACATGTATCGGATGCTTAACAAAGGTAAAAAAACGGAAATTTCAAGAGTAATATTCGTGAAAAACGGAAATTTGTTATAGAACCTTAAGATCTCAAAAATGTAGTTTATAAAAAACTTGAAGAAGAGAATGCACGATTGGATCTTAATGCAATTATAAGTCTTTCAAATTGAATTGACCATTAGAAAACATATTCACAAGTAGGCAAAAAAACGTTTACTTATCGGTGCAGCTTGCCGCAAAGCGCTCGAAAAAAAGATAAAAAAAGGTTTTATGCAGTAGTCCAAAGCAGCGTAACAGAGAGTCACGATTAGATCGTTATGACTGCAAAGGTGCTATTCTTGTTAGGATCGATTTACAAAATAATTAGCCTCGGTAAAATTAGATCATACTGTATTTACTTGCATCCACAACCACAACATATAGGCATTACTAAGATATATATATTAAAAAAAAAACACTTAGTATATTCTGTTCATGAGAAGATACTGTTGACAAGCATATCATTATTCAGAAAGGTTTAATATGTATATTAATTAAATGATGTAGATAACGATAATAAATAAAAGTCTAAATTTAATATCGATACTACTCTGGTATAGTCATTTGACCTTCTTGAAAAGTTTTATAATCTTCCGCAACAAAAAAAAATAGTTGAAAAATATTGAATCAAATTTTATAGACGATATAAAGAATCTAAATCAAGCGAACCAAACGGAATAAAAAACTTTTTATTGGTAAACTTAAAATTCATGAATATTTTTATGATATAATATGTAAAATTTGGTAATAATAGTTTAAATATATTTCGAATAAACGCTTTTTCTTGACGCAATAAAAATTCATAAATATTCTTAAAGCTGTTTATCAAATAAATTTCGAAGAATACTTTTTCTTGACGAAATGAAAATTTTATAATACTTAAGTTTTTATATCGATATGAGGAATTTTTACAAAAATGTCGTTAACTTGTTGGGTTACGAGATCCAGTTAAATATTTAAATTTCAGATCAGTGATAAGACGTGGTACATACAAATAAGAAACAAGACTACTGCTCGTAATATCAATATTGACATTTTCTATTAATTCTAATCTTTTAAAAAAAGTTAGCATAGCAGCGTATTTCTCAGAAACGGTTAAAATAAAGCCACACTATGCTAACTTTTTTAAAAAGATACTTTTAACAATAAAGTCCTACAACTTTAATATATGTTGTTTTCGTTTTTGAAAAGTTCTTTAAACCGTAAAATTCAATTGAAAGTAATAATAGCCAATCATACGGAAGTCTTATGATTTCGATTTATACAACACAATATGTAAAACAAACTTGTTTAGTTATAGTTTACGAATGTACATTTAAATCTCGAATAGTATTGAAGATATATATCTAAAAATTTTTCAGATATGCATTTGTAAATTTTCTATGTATCAAAGATAAAAAAAAAAATTTCTATTATTATTGTAGGGACACCGGTTAGCAAAATTAGTTACCGGTAGCAATCTTACAAAATTAGCTAAATAACTTATCGTAAATTTATGTTTGTTAAGTATAAATTTTAATGTAATCATCTTTTTTTCGGTAAGTTTTTCATCTATCATTTCAGTAGGTTCTCTAGTTATTTAAAAATATGCATATAATTATTCGATTTATGTAAATCAGAAAGTAAAATAGCAAATTTCGCATCTTATCATAAACAATGTTGCTATATAACTTTTCTAAAAAAAAAATAACGCTATAGATGCTACTAAAATTAGGTGGCACTATATTATTGTAATGTCTACATTCACGTAACTTCGAGTTCTTTCATAGTAATTATTAAATATAACTCATTACATATTGTATTTTAATTGAATTTGGAAATTGATATCTTTCTTTCTATCTGAATAATTAATATTACTAACCGAATCTATTTAATTAACATTATCTTCAGCAATTTTTTCAGATGATATTGTGATTTTACATTCTTTGTTATTACAATCATTAATACTCCCACAACAATTATCATCACGGTTATTATTTTTGATGGAATCATTTTTACAACAACCACCATCGAAATTTTTACTCTTCGCCCAAATAATCATTCCTATTCCTTCTTTTGCAAAAAATATACCTAAAATTAAAGCAGAAGCAGAATCTACCCACCAACCACCACTCCAAACAGAATAGATCAAACTACCAAAAAGTATAACAAGAGTAACTTGAATACATGATAAAGTACACTTCGCATCTGACATCATTGTTGAAGAATTGAGTAATTTAGCAACTAAAAGTTTTGAAAGCCAAAGAAGTGCCATAAAAAATATTGAAATAGATGAAATTATTAAACCTGCTAAAGCTGTATCAGGTTTTCCATTTTTCATTAAAGTATAAATTGCATCCGCAAATGTTCCAATAGCAAGTATAACAAATAATGTACCGATTACAATTGTTGCCTTTCTTTCAATAGCTATTAAGTTATCAGTAGAATCTTCTTTACGAAAATCTGCCTCTTTTTTCAAAAATCTCCATAACACCACACATGAAGAAGCAACTTCAACGAAAGAATTAATACCAAAAAAACTAAACTGACTGATTCATGTTCTGTACCGAAAAATACCGAGACTATCCCTTCAGCTAAATTCCATAAAATTGTAAAAATTGATAAGAATATTGCAATTTTAATAAGTTTTAACCGAGAAAATGATTCAAATTTAGATGGTAATTTCATTTTTGAATGGAATAAAGATAGCCTAATAGATTTGCGAATTACATGTGTAAGGTTTTCTTATGTAATAAAGAAATAAAACTAAAATGGTAAGTGAAATTTCACAAGCATCTCTACTTATGTGTATAACAAGCTAAATCCAGGCTTTTCCCAA